TCCGTATTTTAAAGTTTCATACACTTTCCATTTTGAGATGTATTTAAAAATTCCATACATTTTCCCTTTTTGATAAGTTTTTCCTTTTGTTGAGGTTTATTCCTTCAACTTTTGGGCCCAACACGTAAGCCCAAAGATTTCAAGTGGATTGTTTAAGAGTGGGCGATTAACTAGCCCAACAAACAGTAAAATGGATTAAGAGACGATAAATAGCAAGTAAGAGATCAAGTATTATTAATCCGTTAATAACTCCCCAATACAATACCCTTGCTAAGGTTCGGTGACCGTCTGTCTTACAAGGCAGTAGAAGAGCTGCAAGTAAGAGCTAAGTATAAGCTAGAGTGCTAAGACAGATAAGTTGTCAACCCTTTACAATGAAATAAATGCTACTATTCATATCACCAGTGGGCTTGGCTATGCTGATGTGGAAGGCTGTGAGTGGCTGATGCCTCAACCACCAAATCTCTAGCATTATATGCGCCTACCGCCAGAATTTGGGTTTCCCACCTAATTTGTGGAGACGGACGTCCAGTTGGATCTGGGGCCTGCTCCTGGTGATGCTGCAAAGGGTTGCGGGCTGTTCATATTCCGGCCTTTGGTAGAATTTGCTGTGTTGCTTGTAATGGATCACCTATTGGCGTGGATCATGGATGGTGACGTTCGTCGCCTAATACTCAATTACTCATGGGCTGTATTACTCCATCTCATGGGCTAGACGCCCATAGGACCGTGCACTCTCATGGCCCAAGACGTTCGTCCGGTTTTAAGGGTAATGTGTCGACCCTCTATTTGGGCCATTTACCCAACACCTTTAAAAATATTCAATTACTCTTATTTTTGCTATTTTTTATCTCTCTTTACTACTTTTTCACCTTCTCTCATACTTTTTCTATATTATTCATTACAACTACTATTCCATAAATTAACGATTTTTAAAATACGGGGAGGAGTATATCACACACTAATTAAAATCAGGGCCGGCCCAGGGCGTGTGCCACCAGTGCGACCGCACAGGGCCCATGAATTCTAAGGGCCCAAATTTTCACTAATCCTCCTATTATTATCCACAAGTAGAGCCCAATATGTAAGATTGTATGCTTCATTAAAAATTTAAACAGCAGAGGGATTCGAACCCTGGCAATTTTTCAGACGTGAGGACACCCAACCAGCTGAACCATTAGGTTGATGCTAACATTCTTCGAATTTGCGTTTTTATACTAGGTCTCATACAATTATTGATAAAACTCATAAGGTCTTAAGCCTTATACCATCAACTACAATTATTGATATATTAATTTGTAATAATAATAATAATAACTACTTTTATTTCATGCCATTATTAAATCAAAAAACTATTGGATATGTATGAAATATTCATTACGTCTATCAATTATATTAATATTTTTATATAAATATTTCTTTGACAACTTATCCATTTAATTCCAAACAGTCAAACATATCTTAAATTTATGAATTCTATTTTAGATAATGATACATTAATTTTCAATTTAATCTTATAACATTATTAATCTTCACTTATATTACTACGTATATTTTTACCTATTTTTAGGAAAAGACCCGCTTTTTATTTTTTGCACAGGGTCCGTATTTTCTCAGGACCGGCCCTGATTAAAATCCTCCGTAGCAAGTTTTCAATTGAATCACTTTAATTTTTGAAACGAACTAGTCCGTATTTGGTTGATAGTTGACAGGGGCAGCAGAGGAAAGATGAATTTGGGATATGGTGATGGATAAAAAAGTCGGCCAGTCAAGTCGCTGTTGTATTTCTCTCTCTCTCCCTCCCTCACTCCTTTTCTCCACAGTATTTAACGTTGAATCACATCGTGTCAGTGTTCATCTCAAACCAATCGCATCCCGACCCCATCATTTCCCAAACGCCCAAACCTCCCAACTCCCAATAACTCAACCCGGCTAATCTTTCATTTTCACTTCTACAAAATAAAAAGCGAAAATGAGCAAAAATGACACTAATGTTTTGTTCTAGGGAGAAATATGATAATAAACTTTTTTGAGGGTGAAATAGATTTAGGAATTACTATCTTCGTCCCTTTTTTATTGAAATAGAAGAGGCTGACATGAGTATTAAGAAAAATTGGTTTGTGTGGTTGATATCAATTGATAAAGTAAGAACAAAGTAATAATGATTTTGAGCCACATAAACTTTACGAAATAAGGTATGAGATGATTAAATAGGGACATTCTGATATGATAAAATGAGACATTAAGACTCTGTTTGCAATCACTTGTGTTTAAATAAAATAACTTTTAGGGAAAAAGTGATTAGTAGTAAAAGTTGATAGTGTTTGATAAAATAAGAGTTTTTTATGTAATAGAAAAGGTAAAAAATAGATTCTATATGAAAACTGAAAAAGTAAAAGTCGATAGTGTTTGATAAAATAAATGTTTTTTTCCTAAAAATACCACAATCACTTATTTTAAATGATTGCAAACAAAGCATAAAAATGGGACAGATGGAGTAAGTTTTTTGAGAATATAGGCCCCTCCACTACCGGTTGGTGCGTGCACTCTCTATTAACGGTTGAAATGAAAACGATCAAACTCTCTACAACAATTTCTGAATTACATTTTGATTTGTTGACTTTAAAATTAAACAAGGCCTTACTAAAAGAAGATGAAAAAAGATTGAAGTATATAATGAGCTTTGAATACAATTTCTTACTCTAAAATTAAACAAGGTTTTAAAAAAACATGTAATGCTTAAAAAAAACATGTAAAAGTGGTCCTCGTCCTAAATCCGAACTAGCATTATTAACCGGAATGCCACGCAATATGATTTTAAAATGTGTATAAAATTTGACTAGTTTTAGCACTCTATTTTTTCTTAGTGCAAACATGTGTTTCCTATAAATATGAATTTTTAGGATTGACATTTTTTCCCGTGGCGTAATATTATATCGACAAAAAATTAGTGCGAAAGATTTTGAAAATGTGAAATGTATAAATTTTGTAACTTGTTTGAATTTTGTGTGTGTCAAACTTTAATAGTATAAAAATTTTGATTTTTTCGATCAACACTTATGTTTGTCTACTTTTATCGAAAATTGATTGTGGAAAGAATTTCGACAATATGTACAAAAATGATACTCCGTATAATTTTTTGGTCATTTCATAAACATTTTTCTCTCCGTTGGATTTTCATTACCTATAAAATAAGATTTTTCAATTGACCTTTTTTATCGATGGTGTAATTTCAAAGATAAAAGTCATTGATACGATGAACTTTTACATCATTTTTTAATGTGTCCGGAGTTATAACTCTACCTATGTCAAAAGTTATAAATGGGGTGGTGTCAATTCGGATTTAATGGTGACAATCACATTTACAATAATTCGTACAAGTGAGAGTTGACATTTATAAAATCATAAATATAGATATTACATTTCAATTGGTGTACCATTTGATATATACTTCCTCCGTTCTTAAATAAGTGCAACAGTCAACATTTCACACTTGCCGAGACACAACTTTGACCATTAATATATATAATTCTCTATTAGTAAAAAATTTTAAAAAATCAGTTTTTGAAAATTTACAATGAGACAAATATAATAATATATTTTTCAAAAAATATATATTAATACATCAATAAATAAAATGTAGTCAAAGTAGAACATGTGAATAGTGTAAAATTTCACATGTTGCACTTATTAAAGAACGGAGGTAGTACAATTTAATGATGGAATATACAATTTACCATTTGATAAATCCATCCGGATTTAAGAAGCAAATGCAAAATGAAATAAAAACATTATACTGCACGACCTTTTTTGTTCGGTGGAAACCTTAACCCCAAGTCACGTCTAAGGCTTTGTTTGTAATTACTTGTGCTTAAATAAAAGCACTTTTGGAGAAAAAATGATTAGTAGTAAAAGTTGGTAGTGTTTGGTAAAATAAGTGCTTTTTGTGTAATAGAAAAAGTAAAAAGTAGATTCTACACGGAAGCCGAGAAAGTAAAAGTTGGTAGTGTTTAATAAAATAAGTGTTTTTTTCTTAAAAAAAGTTAAAAACACTTTTTTAATGGATTGCAAACAGACCCCAAGATTATAAAGAAAGGGGAAAACTGTCAAATAGGTCCTCGAACTTTCGTAAAAAAGTCAATTAAGTCCTTCTATATGAGACTTTGTCCGGTCGTTGCGATTTGGGACGGTTACCGGTGGAATGTTTTGATGAAATTTTTTGAGCATCTTATTCATCAAGCCTAGTTTACTCATACCAAATTTCAGCTAAAAATTTAATCGGGAGGACATTCAAATTAATTCGATAACGCAAAAATGCGCAGTTATCTTCAAGAATTAATTTGAATGTGTTCCCGATTGAATTTTTAGCTGAAATTTGGTATGAGTAAACTAGACTTAGTGAATAAGATGCTCAAAAAATTTCATCAAAAAATTCCACCAGGAACTGCCCCAAATCGCGACGGCCGGACAGAACCTCCTATAGAAGGACTTAATTGACCTTTTTATGAAAGTTCGAGGACCTATTTGACAGTTTTCCCTAAAGAAAGCAATATAATAGAGTATAAGCCATCGCCTTAACGCAGGAAAACATGGTACAACATTTTAGCTCGTTTTTGTTTTAGAAGAGAAATTAGAGAATCCTTTGATCAATTTCAATTTTGTTACGGCTAATTTACTTTTTTTTTTAAACATTACGGCTAATTTACTTAGGCTTAGGTTAATTTTAATTTTGTTGTGGAGGTACCTAAATTGTCAAAAAACGTGATTCTGTAGGGAATTTCCATCTTCTTTCTTGGACATGAAGGCAAGAGACACCTTAACATGGAGGCACCTTCTTGGAATGAGGTCTCCAACATATGAACGTGGAAGAAGATTATTTGGAGATAGCTAGGAAGCTCTCTAGCAATGTGAATGGAAGCTTGGATGCAACTTCCTCTTGTCTCCAAACTAGTCCTATAAATAGAGTGCTCCATGTTGTTTATTAGTATCAGTTTTAGAAAGTGAGAAAAGTGTGTGAAGAGAGAAATACACTTAGAGTAGAAGTGTATTGGTGAGGATTGGTTTTTTGTAATAGTTGAGTGTGAGAGTTTGCTCCTCCTATTGTAATTCTGTTCTTGATATTGAATAGAAGAATTTCCCAATCCCAACAAGTGGTATCAGAGCGAGGTTGAGTTTCCATACACTGTTTTCACATTTTTCAGAAAAATTTCTACAGGTTAGAAAATCGTGATTTTTTAAGTTGATCGGAATCACAATCTGATCATACCGTTAGATTCGTCTCATCGAGACGAGAAATCTGGTATTTTTGGGGAATTTTTTTGCCACCAGAAGAGGCCGTACGCGCTGCCCAAACGCCGCCTGGAAACTGCTTGCGCCATCACTGCGTCATCACGCAGTCCAGAGGAAGAAGACGAGACACATCATCGCCATGTTATCAACACGGCAGCGCCACGTCAGCCCACGTAAGTGCCACATCATCCGCCACGTCAGCCGCACAAGCCATCCGTTGGGCGCCACGTCAGACGCCACGTCAGTGCCACGTCAGCGCCAGTTGTGTCCACGTCACCAGCCTGGGTGTCAGCACACTGCGCTGCTGCCTGAACCGGACCGAACCGATTCATAGTTGTGGAGGTCGGTTCACCCATTTCTAGACCGGTTTTGGACGAGGTCAGACCGGTTCCTACCATTTTCGGCCATTCCGGATCCAACGGTGAGCTCCGTTTGTCCAAATTATAGATAAACCATCATCACACACCATGATTGCGCTCACTTCCACAAATTACAATATGTCGAAGCCTCGGATTTGCTAAATTTGAGGGATTTAGCCGATCCTCTTGATAATAATGGTGTGAAACCGGATAAAAAAACGGATGAAGAATGGACAAAAATGAATCGAAAAAACGGTCGCACAAATTCGGCAGTGGATCGATCATAGTGTGTTCCACCATGTTGCGCAAGAACAAAGTGCTTACACACTATGGGAGAAGCTTGGTAGCATGTATCAAGCAAAAACCGCTCGAAATAAACGTTACTAATGAGGCGATTAGTAAACCACAAATTGCGAGGTGGTATTTCGGTGTCAGAACACACCAGTCAATTCCAGGATTTTGTGAATCAGTTGAGCACCACCGGATGGGTTCTCAAAGATGAAGAACAGGCGATACTACTCTTGAGCTCTCTACCTGACAGCTGGGAGACTCTTGTTGTCACGCTCAGCAATTCTGCTCCCAACGGCAATGTGACTATGCAGATGGTCACAGATGCCCTTATGAACGAAGAAGCCCGAAGAAAAGAAGCCGGGACTGAACAATCATATGCCTTCGTGTCAGAAACCAACAGACGAGGGGGGGGGGGGGGGGGCAGAAATGGGGGAAGAAGTCGAGGTCGAGATAGAGGCCAAGGTCAAAATAGAGGAAATTCTCAAGTTTGCGGCCGATCATAAGAACGAGGTATGTCCTATGAAAACAATAATTGGTTTGAAGGATATTGCAATTATTGTGGTAATTGTGGACACAGAAAAAGAGATTGTAGAAAGTTTCTACGAGAGCAGCCACAGACGAGTCAAAATACTAGCCAAGAAGATGGTGAGACCATGGTTAGTTTGTCATCAGACGTGTGTCTTGTTACACATGGTGAACAAGAATGTTTACACGTAGGTACTCATGATGTTGAGTGGGTGATTGATACAGTCGCATCATTTCACGCCACTCCTTACTAGAACTTATTCACATCTTATAAGTCCGGAGACTTTGGAGCTGTGAAGACGGGAAACACCAGTTTCTCGAAGATTGTTGGCATTGGTGATGTGCACATAACAACAAATGTCGGATGCGCACTTGTGTTAAAAGGTGTTCGACATGTTTCAAATCTTAGATTGAATCTTATCTCCGGTACAGCTCTGGATCAGCAAGGATATCTTAACCGATTCAAAGAAGGTACGTGGAAGTTTTCTAAAGGTTCCTTGGTTGTTGCAAGAGGCCATGTTTGTGACACCGCACCCGGATGTACTTGAATTTGGAATTTGATATGTATTCGAATTTCCTAGCGAATAAAATTCGTGTAATTGGTTGGCATATTTAATTAATGTGCAATTAGTTAATTTATTTAACGGGTCCATTATACGAGAGAGGGCTACCAAATATTTAGTTGGGTCATCATAATAAATTATAGAGGCCCAATAAAGTGCCAACTAAAGTTGATAAAAATATTTGGACAACCTGAGCGCTATTTTGACCCGACGGGCCAGAAATAGCAGGAATAATTGGGAGAGATTTCCTACACCCACTTGGGGTATTTTACACACTAATTAGACTCAAACAATAAGGGAGGGGGGACCACACAATTTGACTCATGCGGATGATTGAAATGGGAAGTCTCATTGAGACAAAACCCACTCACCCCATGCCATATCCCACACAATATTATTGTGTTGGTTGAGAAGGACTTCTCCCCTACCTTCCTTGCAATCATTCGGCCATCAAAGGAAAAGAACCCAAGGAGAACCTATCCTCACAAAGCTCTTGGCTAGGAAGAAGCAAGAAGATAGCAAACTCTAGGAAAAACTAGCAAGAACACAAGGTAAGAACTCATCTAGTTCATTTACTAGTATTATTTTGTATGATTTTTTTTAGAAATCATATGATGGATTAAACATGGAGTTCCACACGTTTAAAAGTGTGGAATAATGTTATAAAGTGGTGGTTTTTAACTTAGAAGAGTCGTGGAATCGATAGGAGTTGAAACCGCCGGAAACCGCCACTCTAAGAGAGCTGTTCGTAGCTGCAGACCACGAAAGCCGCCCACCTTTCACGAAAGCCGCCCGGCTTTCGTCTGCTGCCCAGATTTTTCACTTCTAATCGGTTTAGAACGGGGATTGATCGAAGGGCTTAACAAAGGCAACTATTGCAGCACATCATAAGGTGAGGATGGCTGACTATATTGCTTATAATTCACTACTACAAAAATTGACGTTTGCTGCTGCCTATTTGCTGCGGTTAAATAACGACCGCAGCAATTATCTATCAAATTTTACCTAATTGCGGCGGCTATAGGGAAAACCGTAGCAAATATTATTTAATTTTAATTAAATATAACTTATTTGCTGCGGTCAAGCTTGAAACCGTAGCAATTGATGATGGTTCGACAAAATCTACTCGTATTTGCTTCGGGCGATATTAAACCGCAGCAAAAAACAAACGGAGAACTAGTACTACGACTTCGTATTTCATTTCAGCAACCCTATCCACAGCCTTCAGTCTTCACCAACCCTTATCCACAACATCCCCTTCCAATCGACGACCAGCAGCCTGCAGCCCCCTCCCAGCGAAAACTCACAGATCCTTCCCAGTAGCAATCGCGGCAGCCCCCTCCCAGCGGAAAGCCATCGTCGCCCCCTCCCAGTGAAGACTCACTCTGTGTTCCTCTGAGTCTAAGGCTCAAGCTGTCGCCGCCGGGCTATGTCGGTTAGCCCCTGCAATTTCTGCCGCCACTCTTCCTGTTCGACGCTTCCGCTCCTTCCTTTTCTCCATCCCTCCTCTGCCTCCTTCTTATTTCAGCCTCTTCTTCATTTATGAGAGGTTTATTTCTCAATTCTTACAATTTCAGTTTATTTGTTCAATTATTTATCATTCTATGAAATTATAATTTTTTTATGAATTTATAAAATTAGATTGATCATTTGATCTATACTAGTATATGTTTGTATGAAGTTGTTGAGTATATTTTTTTGTAGTTATGAATACCCTAGAAAACCTTATCAAGTAAAAACCAGGTAAAAGTCATATGTAATATTGTTGGACCTATCTTTTTATCATTTGAATTAACTCCTTTCAGTTACCTCGTATTTACGATTTTATGAAAGTTAATATTCTATACATGTTTTAGTACACGTTCATAATAGGCATCTTACTATGCCACTTCTAGTAAGAGTTGGGATGAGTTTCAGAATAGGCATCTTACTATGCCACTTCTAGTTCAGTGTGAATGAAGGTTATTGCAGGTCTGTTATTGTGAGATTTGGACAAGCAAAATAAGAAGTTAAAGTCATGTATAAGCAACTCAAAGCAATAAACTGCTATACATCTTATTGAGCCTCTTCCTGGTTGCTTTCCCTTTGATTTAGAAACAAAAAACGAGTTCAAACCCCAATCAGTTTTATTATAGAAAAAAATGTTATTTAATTGAAATAGTCATGTATAAGCAAAGATTAAGCATGAGTATAACTAGTTTAATCATGTCTTCACGTAAACACCGGTAATCTTGGCATTATTGAAAAATTTATATTAAATAAATCTCATTAAAACTTGATTATCTCTTTAAATTTTAATCATAATTTTGATTATTGTTTATAGAGTTTCCAGAAATTGATAGTCATGATGCCATTATAAAAGTCAATGAGGCTCCTAAGAATGAGGTAAGTTCTTTGGTTTTTGTTATTTTCCCATAATAAGTATCAACTAATACTTCATTCGATCTTTCATTCTTTGTTAACATACCAATAACCAATCTTCAGGTGATATGAATGTGTGTAAACTATTTTTGCATATCACTATATCAGTCAGGTAAAGCTTGACTCTATATGTGTGTGTGTGTGTGTGTATGTGTGTGTATATATGTATATATATGTATATGCTTGGTGAGACTACATTATTAAGTGAATGATTGTTGAATCTTAAGAAAAAAAATTGTTAACACAAAACCTTTGCACTTATGGTGTCTATCATTATGATCCTATTCAACTTCCAGTTACACTACCTTCCAAAATATGCTTTAAAGTGAATCTGTGAGGTAAATTCACAATTATGTCTATGGGTCTGCCATTGTTTCTTGTTTCATCTTGCCTTTAACATTATATTCTGAATAAGATTTGTGTATTTATGAGCCTTCTACTTTTTTAATTCAAAGAAAAACCTATGGCTAATTTACATAATGGAAGATCCTTTGTGTGTCTGGCTTATTAAGCATGTCATTGCAAGGTACAAACTTCAAAGAGTGGAAACTGGTGGTGAATGAGATTGTTCGGTTCACAAAGGTGGATTTGGGTTCTTCAGCTGTTAGGCCTTTGCGATTTACTGCTACTTTTGATTCGTATCAATTATCTCAACTTTATGTGGCCCGTTTCGAGGCTAATAAGGTCCTAAAGCCTCAATATGCAGGCTGACAAGCTATCATTAAAATGAGGTATTGAAATGATTTTATATTAGTGATATGTCGGTCGTTGGGTAAAAAAAAAAATAGTTTTAATGGTTAATAAGACTGCCTTTGGTTTGTTCTCAAGTCGAATTTTCAGAACTAACTTTAGACACTTTTAGAATGCTCCAATGCTTGGAATGAGAACCCAGTGGATCTTCCTATCATCAGGAGAAACCCATTGAACCACGAGAGAATAGGGTGACATTTGACCTGTCTTCTATTGTGAGAATAGGGTAACCACTAACCACCTATTTCCTCTTTTTCGCTACAGATCGTTAGTAAAAGGAAAGTGTTGAAAATACTCTTCAAACTGTTTGTTATCATTTATTTTGCAGGGCTAAAATATTTACCCAGTGTGCTTGACTTATCAAGAACAGAATCAACAACTACCAAGTGACATGTAGATGACTAACTGACTAGTTCCATAAAATAGACAACAATTTTTTAGAATATTCTTCTATAATTATTAGTGATCGTTATTTATGTTTCAGGAGTGAAATATTCAAATAGTTTTCCAAAAACAAGGTTCTCTATCTAAGGTACAACTGAAAGATGAACAATTGGGGAATCAAATCTTCACTTTCAATACCAGGAAATTTTCAAGGAATACAAAAGGTGAGCTACTTCAGTATATTATAACTATTTGTCTTCAGTTAGATGCATGTTCTATTTTGAGTTTTTGATTTTACCAATATAAAATGCATTCATGACACAAGCTGTTTTTTATATACATGCTAAAATATTTGAAGGGTGATGCTGCAATTTTCATCATTCAAACAAGTTATGTGATAGTTTTTCACATACAGCTCATGTTAACTACCATTTTTGAACCAATAATAGTTTTTGTAGTTTGATCAAGTTTTATTTGTAGCAGTCTATTTGCAAACTTAAGTCTTAGCATTCTGAAGGGTCGTTTTATATTAATGAATTAATCAGATCACAAACAAAATATAAAGGCTGGTGATACCTTTTTTAGAGTTTCTAAAAGCTCTTTCAAAATATATTATAACTATAAAACTCAATTTTTAAAAAAAAAACTATAATACTGACAAGAGGAATATAAAAAATTCTTACTACAGTTTTATTCATTTTTTTTATTTCACCTTGAATATTAAATATGTAATTGCTTATTATTATAGGTTTACAAGAGCATAATTAGAGATGTGACGTCTTCAAAAGATTGAATCGGTGAAGTTCCGGATGCATGAGTCATCTATGTTTGTGATACGTAGTAATTTGTTGTAAAGAATGTATTCTGAGACTAATTTTGGTTGTATTGGATGTGTATGATGTATTGTGATACTTGCTAAAAAAATTATGTTTTTGTTATTTAAAGTGTTTTGGTGTAAAATATGGTTAATTGTCCATTTGGAATTTTAATAAAAAAGGAGAAATTCATATTGCTGTTGTAGAAAAAAATTTAAAAAACATCAAAAGAAATGGTGTAATAGAAACGGACTGTAATATGATAGTTTTGGAAAGAGTATTTGCTGCGGTCCTTCATAACCGCAGCAATAAGTTTTTTTTACAAAATTAAAATAGAGTATTTGCTGCGGTTGTGAACCGCAGCAAAAAGTTAAACCCACATATTGCTGCTCCTCCAATTGCTGCGGTTCTGAACCGCAGCAAATAAGCAAAAATAACCGCAGCAAATAGACATTTTTCTAGTAGTTAATTTCGTAGGATTACCTAAAGTAAATAAATGTGATTTTCATGGATTATTAATGATTAATAATGCCTAAATGAAAATATTGTTGTCAATGAATAAAGGAGCATAATATACAAATTTAAGGATAAATTGTGTATGATTA